GCACATTGCCCTGGCTGGAGTGTCAGGATGTCCAAAGAGCTGTCTCTTCTCTGGACCAACGCGCCTGAGTTCCTTTGGCCTTTGCTTAGGGCCCCACCTCCTGCTGCATGAGACCCCACCATGGACAGGATGAGATCAGGTTACTTTTCATTCCAAAGAAGGGACTCACACCATCACGGGGGTCCCACAGACTGGGAGCATCGGGGCGCAGCCCCTCTGTGGTGCTGGAGCTCCCGGGTCCTTCCCATGTCAGAGGCTCCTGGGTGCTTGTGTCATACTGGGCAGTGGCCCAGGGCCATAGGCCACAGGGTGTGACCTCATTGAGCACATCTTCCGGGAGGGTGAGTGAAATGAGAAGGCCAGATGAGAGGAGGGGCTCAGAGGACCCCCCATCCACTTGCAGAGCTGTGGGTGTCACAGCACCCCTCTTTCTCTTAGCCTCTGGCCCCATTAGTACTTGGTAGTGACCCAATTCCTCCCTTCCCGTGAGGCCTCTCCCAGCAACACCGAGCTGGCCTGCGGCCCTCTCTGGGTCCCCCTCCCCACTTGTGGGAGAAAGGATGTGGGGAAGGAGCGTGGTTCCGGGCTTAGGAAAGCTGGCCCTGGTTGTGCGTCTGCTCCTTGCCAGCGGGGTGGGTGCAGGAAAGCCGCTGACTGACCCTGCATCCCAGTTCCATGTTTGCAAAATAGGGATCCAAGCCAGTCTCCCAAACTGGGGTTGTCTTGAGGATTTCGGGAGATACTGGCTGACGGGAGGTCAGTGGGTCCGAGAAGGGTCAGCGATGGTACAGGGCCCGGTAGGGTGAGGTGTCGGCAGCACCAGCTACATAATGTGGGGGCCCAGTGCAAGATGAAAACGGGGGCCCTTGGTTCTAACATCATGAACCTCAAGATGGCTACAGCAGAGCATTGAACCAAGTGTGGGTCCGTGCTCAGAGGACCCACATCCATCTCTTACACTCGCTGCGGTACCTTTAACACTCACGTCCTGGCCCAGAAAGCACCCAGGAAGTGGCAGGACCCCTCAGATGCCAAGAGGTCCGTGGCTGATAATAATCAGCTGTCCACTCCCAGGACCTTGGCCTGTCAATCCAGGACCCGAGGGCTGCAGCGTCCAGAGACATCACTTTTTGATGGTGGAATCTGCCCAGTGGCTGTGAACGGCTGGGGGGAGGGAAGGGGCCGTGGCTCTTGGACAGTCCCCCCATGAATGCAGGCCAAGGTCACAACCACTTGTATGTGGAAACAGCTGACCGCTGGTTCTGGGTTCCAAAGCGGTGGCCCTGCCCCGCGCAGTGACGTCTGCCAGGGAGGCCCCAGGACGTCATTGCGCTGGTGACTTTTATGGGAGCGGGTACAGGCCACAAGCTGTCAGGGTGGCCGCTGCCCCTTGGCCCCTCTTCGCCATTCCTGTTGTCTCACCCTCGAAGGCCTGGCCCTCTGTGACCCTGGGCTCTGTAGTGAATGCTCTCACACCCTGGGCAAGCCCGGGGCACACGGGTGTCCCCATACTCTCTGCCACTCAGCGCCAACAGTGTTTCCAGGTGAAGTCTTGTTGGGGTAATAAATGGGATGAAAAAACAATACTTCACTGTATTTTTTCCTGGAGCATCATGACAGATTGAGGGCCGGTGGCTTGAGGCGTGCTGGCCAATTCCAGCTCCTGTGACCCCCCCGAGGCAGGGGGGCAAATGGGCATGTCGCAGGCTTCCCCTACTTGGTCTGGCCTGACTCCAAGGCCCCCTGGCCTCCTCCCTGGCCATCCTGCCAGCGGCGCCTGTGGGAATGTTGCACCCGGCGGAGC